TGCAGGTTTGGGACATTTCCTCCCCCCACAATCGGGGTAAACTGCAAGTTTTGGCATTGAAACTGCTCCAGCAAAATAGCCAGCTCCTGACCTAATCTCCCTAAAGCAAAGCCTACCATGGAACAAATTCAGCCCTAGGCACACGCGGTTCCTAATTGGTGTTTCAGTGCTCGCTTATAAGCCTGAACAACCAACCAAGGGTTAGTAGACAGCCTTTGCTTGCAGACCAGAGAGTGTAAGGGAAGAAGTTCTTAAAGAAGAAGCAAAGATGTGAAGAAAACTTAGAAGACCTTCAGAAAAACCCTGGTGAGTGTCTTTAGCTAGACTAGAGATGAAAAAAAGCATAGGTATTGCGGGAAAGGTATATTCAAGAGAGCAAAAATATCACCCAAAAGGACTAAAAATCAAAATGCTATCAGACTTCTCTTGAGTGGAACTTGATGCTAGTGGACAGTGGCACAGTGCCTTTAAAACTGATTATCAACCTGAGCATCCACACTCAGCCAACACACCAAACAAAGCAAAAGGTCACCTGAAACTGTGACATGGCATGGGCTCTGAAAATTGACCTCCCAGGTGTTCTTTCTTGGAAAGATACTTGGCTGTCTTCCAGCAAATTGAGGAAGTAATTCAAAGAGGGGACGTCATGGGATGATTGAGTTAATAAATTCTGATCAACATTAATGGATGGATGATGGAGTTTGCTGAGGAGTTTGCATGTTTTATCCCTTCTGTTTAATCTCTTATTTCCTACTTTTCCACAGTATCAGCGTGGGTTTGATAGAAACCATATAATTATCCAAACAGAAGTTTAATGTAAAAGAACAATTAAAAGATATGCAAGTGGCCAACAACATATGAAAAGATGCTAAACATCACAAAACATTGGAGAAATGCAAGTCAAAACCACAGTGAGGTATCTAGAAGAGTTAAATTGATAGAGACAAAGGTAGAATGGTGGTTGCCAGGGGCTGGACTGGTTGAGGGTGGGGCTGGGGATGGAGAGGTTTTATTTTTGTTTGTTTTTGTAGAGACAGAGTCTTTCTTTATTGCCCTCAGTAGAGTGCAGTGGTATCACACAGCTCACAGCAACCTCCCACTCCTGGGCTTAGGCTACTCTCTTCCCTCAGCCTCCCTGGTAGCTGGGACTATGGATGCCCGCCACAACGCCCGGCTATTTTATTGTTGCGGGTTTGGCTGGGGCTGGGTTTGAACCTGCCACCCTCGGGGTATGGGGCCGGCCAAGAGCGTTATTTTTTAATAAGAACAAAATTTTAGTTTTGCGAGATGAAAAGTGTGGATACTGATGGCACAGCAATGTGAATGTAATGCTACCAAACTGTACTTTAAAATACTTAGGATGGTAAATTTTATGTAATTTGCATTTTACCACAAAGGGCTGTAACTATCAGCATGCCCCCTGCCCAAGTGGAGCTATACAAAGGCTCTGGACAGTAGATTTAAGCATGCTGTGTATTAAAGTTGGGATGAGGGGAGGGGCATAATAAAAAAATAAAACCCATTTTTATAAGAATAGTATAAGAGGAAAAGAAAACCAATTAAGAGCTCTAGAAAAACAACTATCCAAAAAGTATAATTTAATCACAATATACTACATAGCGCTCTAGCAAACATTTACTTATTCTTTATAAAGCAAATGCTATTTATTGATTTAACTAAAAGTGGTTATGATGGTAATGGAAAAGCCAAATCTGTATCCATCATTACAGGAATTAAACTATAAAGGCCTTAAATTGGTAAGTCAGGAAGTAGCAACCTAAGCATTTTTACATAGAGACATGAGGGAACTTAGCTCCTCATACGTATAGGAGTATATATTGTTAAGTGGAAAAAGAATGTGGAAGTGAGTAAATAGTATGCTCCATTATTTGTGTCAAAGATAGATGCATGTAATTTTCCCAAAATTATCCAAGAAATGATTAACATTCGTTACCTCTAAGGTGAGGGCCTGTGGACGTTGGGAAAGGAGGAGTGTTACTTTTTATAATACTAATAGATCTTTTTGAACTATGTATTTATTTCCATGAGCATGTATTAATAAATTTAAAATGTGGTTACATGTTGATTGGTTTTTTTTTTTTTGGAGACTGTTTCACTTTGTTGCCCTCGGTGGAGTGACATAGCATCACAGCTCAACAACCTCAAACTCTTGGGCTCCAGTGATTCTCTTGCCTCAGCCTCCCAAGTAGCTGGGACTACAGGCGCCTGCCACAACACTGGCTATTTTTAGAGATGAGGTCTTGCTCTGTCTCAGGCTGGTCTCGAACTCGTGAGTCCAGGCAATCTACCTGCCTCAGCCTCCCAGAGCACTGGGATTACAGGTGTGAGCCACTGCACCCAGCCTATATTGATTTTTTTAATAATGAAAGTGACAGAAGTTGTACACTAGGAGTTAGAAGAGATTACTGCTAGCTGGGGGAAACTGGAAAAAGCTTTGTTTAAGAACAGACATCTGAATTAGGCTTTGTCCTGTGATAATAAGCACAGGTAAGGAAGCATAAGATAATCTCATAGCTACATGGCGGGCTTGTTACAGCATTGTGCTTTACTGTTAAAGTAAAATCTTGAATGTGTCACTGGGGGAATAGCTGCCTCTGATTAATTGGCAGATCGGTAGAATTAAGAAAAAATGATTTTTGAATACCTTTTAAAATGTGGCCTTTACGTGCCTATTTTATGAAGTTTAATATTGGAAAATAACTTGAGTCTCATGCTATAAATTAAGAAAGTATAACAATAGCAATGGGCTACCCTTGTATGCCTGGGGTTTTTTGTTCCCTTTCTCCTGCTTGATGCCTCTGCAGCTTGATGACCAGAGCACAACTTGTCACTCATAGGGGTTGCCTATCCCTTATAAGACTGTCATAAATGCAGATTTCTTAGTATCTCTATACCTTTTAACAAGAGAACATATCTGGAAATTATCATCTAAGATAATAATCATTTTTCAATGTTTACTATAAATGTGTATACATCCTTTAAATGCAGTGTTCTCAACTTTGATTGAACAGTGAAGTCATCTAGGAGCTATAGAAACTGCTGATGCCTGAGTTCCATTCCCAGAGGTTTCGTTGACATGGATTGCAGCTTTGGCATTGGAAGTTTTGAAGCTTCCTAGGTTATTCTGATGGGCAAAGACTGAGAACCACTGTTTTAAAGGAAGAATATTCACAAAGACATGTCAGTTTATTTTAATGTGCTAGTATTTAGATATGTACGAATTAATGCTAATGAAATTCCTTATACATGTAGTCAAATATAAAACACATTTACAAATTAAAAACTTCAAAATTAAATTCAAAATAACAATGGATAGATAGATGTTTTGCTGAGGCTTTTGTAAATGTTTTTTCCTTTTACTTAGTCTGTTAAATCATCCTTTCCATTTTTATTAGTCTGGATCCAGTTGGGAGACAGAAACCACACGGTGATATAAACAGAAAATTTAATAGAAGGGATAATTAAACTGATAAAATGGTAACTGTAGAGAGCTATGTGGTCCGTAGAGCTGAATGAAGGAGAATACGCGAGGAAGGGCCAGGCTGAGGAGGCCCCAATCCCCTAGGCTGGGGTTCAGACTCACCAAAGAAGTATAATTGCAGCCCACTGAATGGCAGAGCAGCTGGTAGTTTTGCCAGACGAGAGAGGTGGCCCATGGTGCTGGGTAGCAGGAAGTCCTCTGGGGTACAGGCAGGGCCCAGCAAGCCATAGTCAGCAGCCAATAGCCAGTTGCACAGGCAGACACAGGAATTGTGGACCTGGGTGATAATCCTCCAAGGAATATGGATGACAAGGCATATGGGTGCACGGAGAAAGTGGGGTGTCACTGCAGCAGGCCTGGTCAGGAGGGCCATGGTTTGGGGTCAACCTGAGTGACAAATCTGGAGATAATGGCAAGTTATAGGAGACTTAGAGCTCACAGTGTGTTGAGATGGTTGTGAGAAAATGACACTAGACCACACCAGAGCTGCAAGATTGCTGAGGAGCACCCATGTGTCCTACCCTGCAGCAGCCCAAAGCACAGGAGGGCCCCTTCCTCCTGCAGTGTCCCTAGGGTGTCCCTGCTGAGAAAGCTCCACATTGTACTCACTGAAAGGAGAAATGTGCTAAGAACTTTTGTTCATTATCGAGAGCATATGTCAAAGGGTGACAGTCTAATAACAGAGTTGATAACTTACATATGTGTGCCACCCCATGCCAGCCAAACTCGTTCTCTGCAGCTGTCCAGCTCAAGCTCAGAGGCCGCTGTGGTCTCCTCTGAAGGGAATTGCTCTGTACTGTGTTCCAGGGTACCCTTGTAGAAGCTCGCTATGCTGTGTGGGAATCTGCTTACAGAGCTTATCAAACCAACATGCAATTCGAGTGTTCCTAGGAATCACCTCCAAAGATTCCAACTTAGTTGGGCTAGGGTGGAATCTAAGAATTCACATTTTTAACAGGCACCCACAGTGATTCTGAGGATGGTGATCCCTGGGACACTTTGAGAAATACTGATCCGGGGCTGGACTGTAAGGACTGTCCATCTTGTACCCTCATCCCCACCACAGTTCCTAATGATAGGTTAGTGTTCCACAGATGTGAGCAGAATGAAAAAGACAGCCCAACCACTGATGAAGGCAGGGCAGCTTGGGGTTCTACTGCCGAGAGCCAGAAGGGTGGGCTAATGGCCATTTCTAACACCTTCTCAGAGCAGCCTCCTTTATCCCACGTTCAGAACTCTGCCCAACTTCAAACTTTCTGCAGATAAAGTGTTTTCAGTTTTTATTTTATTTATTTATTTTGAGACAGAGTGTCACTCAGTCACCTTGAAATTGAGTACTGTGGCATCACAGCTCACAGCAACCTCAAACTCTTGGGCTTAAGCAATTCTCTTGTCTCAGCCTCTCGAGTAGCTGGGACTACAGGCAGTTTTTGATTTTAAATGGACGTTATACTAATGTGAGTTTTCTTTATATTTAATAGGGAGAAAGAACAAGAAACACAAGAAGAGGAACGTTTGATGGAAGAAAAGAAAAAGAAAAAGCAGGAAGAAAAGAAAAAGAAGGAAGGTGCTCAGAAAAAGGTTTGGCTGAAATCACTCTTCCTGTCTTTGTTGTTGTGTGTCTCATCTGCATTGTCACCTGCATTGTCACAGCCATTACACGTCAGAGTTTCATCATCCCACTTCTGAAATCAATATGCTGAATTTATAATTAGCGAAAATAGGTATTGTGCTGGTGAAATAAATAATAGAGTGACAATTGCAAAATGTCTTCCTTAAAGAATTAGAAATACTAGAACTGTGTTTTTAACAAGCGGTGTTTCAGTTATTGGAAGTAAAGAACATCCATGCCATTCTTTAAAATGGACTGTCCAGAACAACCAGGGCTGAGCATTGGAAAAAGGGCTGTCCAAGTGATCTTATTAGAAATAATTTTAGCAGCTTTCACAAGTGTTCGCTTATAAATCCTATTATTAAACGTTAAAAATAAGTCCTACTGTAAACCTTACCGTCATGCTTGAATGTTACAGCTTTTAAAATGCTAAGTCACGCCATTTATTTTGGTTCTTCCCCAGTGTGATGTATGTTGTAGTTTAACCTGTATACCTTTTAGACTCTATTAAAATATAGAGCTCAAATGAGCTTACAGATAGAATATTTTTGCATTTAGATTGATACTGGCATGTAATTAATACCGTGTAGACAATTACACATTTTTACCCAATAATAAATCATGTTACATTAACTGGGCAAAAACTTGTTTTTAAAATTTCCAATATTAAAAGTCTGCTTATTAAGCTTTCATAATGTATACATTCCACACATTATTATTCCTAAAGAGTTTCTGATTTTTTTTTCAGGCTGCTGATCAAAAAACCAAAGGTAAGTTTATTTATATTTGCGGGGGTGGGGGTACATTTTATGGCAGTACCAAACTTTTTATAAGGGTGACTTTTTAAAATTGATGCTTAAAAATAAAGACTCGAAGCCTGCCTTGAGCCTACTTTTTATTTTTCATTGTGAAATTCCTCATTTATCACTGGCTTTACATCTACATCTCATTGACACCTGGTTAATCTAAAAATGCCTGGAGAGTATTAACATTAGCTTTCTAAATAATACTTTTAAATTTTCTTTTGTTTTCTGTCAAAGATTGAACTGATAAAAGTTGATGCAGTTTGAATAACCAAAGGATCCTAAATTTTTTAACCTCCTAGTTTCTCATTGCCAACTGTCTTTTATATTAAAAAGAGGTAGATTAGGCGGCACCTGTGGCTCAGCAGGTAGGGTACCAGCCCCATATACTGAGGGTGGTGAGTTTGAACCCAGCCCCAGCCAAACTACAACAAAAAAATAGCTGGGCATTCTGGTGGGCGCCTGTGGTCCCAGCTACTTGGGAGGCTGAGGCAAGAGAATCGCCTAAGCCCAGAAGTTGGAGGTTGCAGTGCGCTGTGATGCCATAGCACTCTACCCAGGGCAATAAAGTGAGACTCTGTCTCTAAAAAAACAAAAAATAGGCTCGGCGCCTGTGGCTCAAGCGGCTAAGGCGCCAGCCACATACACCTAAGGTGGTGGGTTTGAATCCATCCCGCGGACCTGTCAAACAACAATAATGGCTGCAACCAAAAAATAGCCAGGCGTTGTGGCAGACGCCTGTGGTCCCAGCTACTTGGGAGGCTGAGGCAGGAGACTCTCTTGAGCCCAGGAGTTGGAGGTTGCTGTGAGCAGTGAAGCCATGGCACTCTACCCAGGGTGACAGTTTGAGGCTCTGTCTCAAAAAAAATAAAATAAAATAAAGAAAGAAAAAGAGGTAGATTCTTTCTATATTCCCTCTTTGCTTTTTGATAAGTAAAAGGTTTCCCTTTTTATCCTCCAAGTCCAGACTTTCCTTGTTATTACCTTCATGGTTTTTTATGGAAGCATGTGCAGCCCTTGTTGTAACTCAGGCATCTCCACAATGTGCTGGAGATTCAGAAAGAGCTCAGTGAAAGCCAACTCCAGGTCTTTTCATTTTATATGCTTTGTTATGGCTAAGAGCACACACTTAGGAGTCACATACATGCCAACTCTCTTTAATTTGGGGCCAGTTACTTCACTTCTTTAAGCCTTTAGGTATCTTGTATTTCAAATTCGAAAAGTAGTGAGTGGTTCCTACTTCATAAATTGTTGCAAATAAAATAAAATAGGCCCAGCATGGTGGCCCATGTCTGTAATCCTAGCACTCTGGGAAGCCAAGGTGGGACGATTGCCTGAGTTCCAGAGTTTGAGACTAGCCTCAGCAGGAACAAGACCTTGTCTGTACTAAAATTAGAAAAATTAGCCAGGCGTTGTGGCGGCCACCTATAATCCCAGGCCCAGGAATTGAGGTTGCTGTGAGCTAAGCTGATGTCATGGCACTCTACCCAGAACAACAGAGGGATGGATGGATGGATGGACAAAATAAAATGGGAGAACAAAAAAAGACTGACTGATTGTGCAGGAAAATAACAGTCTCTGACATATATAGTTGGTGCTCATAAATGTTTGCTGTAACTAGTTATTATGTTTTGAAGTTTTTATTTTCCATTGGACCATCATATTGCATGTGCAGATACATGAACTAATACAGATCTC